ATACTGATATGAAAGGTACGTGTAGTTTAACAATATTTTGAAATAGCCAATGAAATAGCCAGTGAAGCAATAATAACCAGACAATCCATTAGTGCTTGTGTCAATAAAATGCTATAGCAAAGCCTTCTTTTAAAAAGATTGTGCTTTTTAGCAGGACATGAATAACATAAAATATGTAAAGATGAAAATAAGTGTAAATATTTCCTTTAGTATGAGCAAGGTCATACATATTTTTTCCAAAGTAAACAGTTATACAAAATAGTTGATGTTTCCTTCTTGTGTCTTGGTGAACAGGACACTTTTATTTACATGAATACTCAGACTTATGATGTCTATTCATCTGCATAGTGAAATCCCTCATAAATGAAGTCTTCCTCTAGACCTGGTGGAGGAAAATGTTGTCTTATACACATAACTGCACAAGAAGGGAGGACAACTCTGATTTCTTTCCCCAGGATTCCCCAGCACCACCTTGCCAGTTGACGATAGGCTATATGTCTAAATTTCTTGTGCTCTGGACCTTCATGGGACTCCTGGTATTGCTGTTTATACTGCAACCATGCAGTCTGTAGGACATATTTATTAGTGCAAACAGGCAAAAATCCTGGATGTTGAGTTATACAGGTAGGGGGGCTTGCTGCTTCTCCATCTGCAACAACTTCCTGGCATTTATTGAAGACTTTTTGTATTTCTTGACAGCAAATACATTCTTCGCTTCTGTCCATTACTTGGCAATTACCACCACACTCGCACCTGGATAAAATACATTGGCCTTTTTTAATATCTTATAGCAGAACTTAGGAATAAAAAGCATATTGAGCATTTATTTATGATGTGTGAGGCTCACATGAAAGTTTTAGATTAAGCTTAATTTGATTGAGCCTGATTTGTCTATTTAGGATTTACACTTCCATAATATGAGCTTAAATTTATAAGAATTTAATATTTCATAGATTGAAAACTGTGTATTGAAATAAAAATGTTGTAGTTACATGGTATGAGTTAAAAAAAAACTATTGCGGGTGCTTTGATTTTTTTTATAAAAACGGGTTTACGCAGCTACACGTAGCTCTACGTAAATATAAGTTGATAAGCTTAGTATTTTTACTGCTTTCAACTAAAAAGACAGAAACAAACATAAACATACCAGCTCGAGCTTTGAAGACGACCAACATCAGTTTCGTTTTCTTCGACTTCTTCTGCTGAATCCTCACTATCTTCTGACGTTTCGATCTGAAGTTCAGGCTCGAACAGATAAGGTTGAATTTGCAATTCTTCACCGTCAAAACTTGTAAACATTTGCTGTGGAAAGTCCTCCTCAAACGAGCTTTCAGAACTCTCAGAACTTGAACTTGAGTCTTCAGACATTAGACAGTAATAAAAACACGTAAAATGGACAGGAAAAGCTGAAATGTTCTTCAAAAAGAGAATCAAAAACAGTGTTGTGACTATGCGACAGTAGCAACCAAAGCRTGGTTTGACTTTGCTACGTCATAGGCTTAAATTTCTGAGCCCGCGATACAATGGCAAAATGATTGGCGAGGGCGGGATGTTTAGAATTATTTTTTAGGTAAACAAAAGGCCGGCTGCTATTCAAAATATCATAAATTTGTTTCTAGATAGGTATATTTTGATTGAGAATTGACAAAATTTGGGTGTTGACTGTTCCTTTAAAAGGTGAAGGAGATGAAGACAAAGAAGAGTTTGTCTAGAGATGACAGTGATGAGGACCAAGAAGCAGACAGATGTGCTGGGCAACCCTATTCTACTAAAATTCCTTGACATGCCCTCTACATTCCCTTCTCTATAAAATAGAGTGTACAAGGATGTTGAAAAATGCTGCACAGAAAGTAGACCCCAAGATGGGACGTGGTCATTCAAACTTGCCTGAGTCACGGTTCAATCTGCTGACAAAGTTCCGTGCAAAAGATTTACACCAACTACATTATGAAGTATCAACAAACTTAGGGCCTCTACAAAGCAACATGACATGGTTTTACAAAAACTATGGGAAAGATTACCACTGGGAGTATGAATTGTATGCTGAGATGGGTCTCCCACTGATAGATGGTTTGAAAGAACTGGTAAGCATATTTATCATACAGATGATTTTGCATGACAGGGAAACAGTGATGGCATGATAAAGTTACAGTATGATACAAATTTCATAGATTTTTATCAAAACTGTGTTTACGGTATGGCAAGTTTCCCACTAATATGCTTTAGCACATTCATGTACATGTCATGATAGGATTTACAGAGGGGGACATTGGGGTTTGCGGGATTGTGGGATTACCGTTTTTTCATGCGATATTGCGGTAATTTGGCAAAATAAATGCGGTAATGCGGGATTTGTATTTTGTGCGATATGCGGTATTTGAAGTTTTAAGATTATTACGGGAAAATCGCATAAAATGGCGGTATTGCGAGAAAAATACTTGCAGACCTAACACTGCGAGATGCGGAAATCGACTTATAGTAGATAGTAGTGTATTGATATCTCGCCCTTTCATCTCAAGTTAATGTTTCAATCCATACAACCAATCACCGACCTTAATTTCTCTCATGTAATTTGACCGATATGACCTCAAGGTATCTGGACTACCTGTTCATTCGTCGCTAATCTTGGTGACATCGTTATCGTATTACATTGTAAAGTCCGTATACATATCTGTTTGGACGTCGAAGTACGAGGAAGGAAAAGGAAGAAACATTATAGAAGGAAAAACAAATTCCGCTGTGAAGTCGGAACGTAAAAGCGTAACTTAACTTCGAGAAGCCATTCGGTAGGTTTATTAGCTTTATGACACTTATCTGCAGCGACCTTTTTAGTTGGTGCCACAAGGTTCGGGAGAGCAGTACGCTTCAACAACAGACTTTTAAACTGATTTTTGTAAGGTATGGTGTTTTCAAAAATAGGCGTACGTAGGTGGTTCTCAATCTCGGCTATTGTGGACATCGTTTAGGACCAGCTACGCTTGTGTCCGGTAAATTAAATTATTGTTATATACAAAATCATTATACGGTTTTTATATTCATTTCTTAGATAACTTAGTTTGATGTATGTTTTGGATAGAGTTTTGTTATATTCATAAATGACCAGTTGTCTTGTCAATTTTTTTCTCTCTCACAGACATCTTTTCAAATGAGACCAATATTCCCTAATTCCTTTCAGAATCTAGCTTCTTTGTGGGAAAAAAAACACAGTGCTTGCCAGAAGATGTTGCACTCATATGGTACGGTTTTTAAAAATTGCTCAAAACTCGTTATGAATTACAGTTACATTCATTCTGGATAGACAATCTCAAATGAAAAAGTAAGATTTATTTGTTTTCAAGACTTGGCACAAAATGCTTTAGTGAGTGCCATATGGTATATTTAGTGTACTATATTCTTGAATAATAATGTTTTCAATAGTAATAGAAATATTAATGTTTTATAATGATTACATTTGATGATAATATTTGCATGATACACATGATTGCAAAAATTGAGCGATTCTAGCAAAAAACACAAGTGTAAAAGAAGAAAATACAAACCGGAAGTCAGCGCTCGTGTTGTCTGAATATGTAAAAAGTTTAGATAACCATGTGAAATGCCGTTATGTGCAAAAAATCGAACGTATAGGCATCATTCCCGCTACGCTTGACTCTTCACACCTCGATCCGGAATGTCTTCCCACGATCGAAGCTGGGGATGTTTTATCTTACTTGCTCCTAGAAACAAGCTACTACACGGCAGATCAGTTCAAGAACTTCAAGAGTACACAGGCGTACAACCAGCTGGTCTCAGGATTTGTAACAAGTGTCCAGGGAAAAGTTATATCGGAATTGTTTGTTGTCATTGGCAAGGTTCGCCGATCACAAAGAAGAATGTCATTGCCAATAAACAAGGAGTAGTTGTGTTGGCTCATTGCCTCAATTGCCTTGCTGGTTTAGCAGAATCATGTTCTCATATCTCAAGTATTTTATTTTACATTGAAGCATGGAAAGCTCGCCTGCACTCAATTTAAGTGTACATGGTTGTTACCAACATACGCGAAGGAGGTGCGCTACTCCCAAGTAAAAGACAGTCTTTAGATCAACAGTTCACATCTTCTGTAAAAATTTCTTTTACTAATTGTCCTGGCTCATCGAACTTTATTACTTTCGAAACATAAACATAGGGTCGAATTGCTTCTTCGTGTTTTCTTTTGCCTCGCGATTTCACCCTTTTCGGCTCTTTCGGCATCTCGCTGTTGCTGCTCTTCTTGTCGATGTGAGCACCCAGTCCACATTATGTCTGTCCCAACTTTTTGCAGGCTTTCCTGATACAAAGTGGCGACTGAAAACGTGATCATAACGCAAGATTGACTCCGATACTTTGTCACAACTGATGGCGGATAGCCATCTTGTTCAACGGACAATTCTTCGGCCTTTTCTCCCTGATTTGTGATTATTGCTGGCACAGAATAGAAGTTCACATCATTATCTTGACCAGTACGGTTATGACAATTAACAAATAAGCATAGAACCATCATATAAAGAAGTCTAAAGATGTTAAAAGCTCACTTGATTGTAATTGTAGTAATGTTTATATGGGTTGCTATGCAAAGCTGTACTCAAACATGGCGGATGATAGCTGTTGTCCAGGAGTTGGTCACGTGAGTGAAAAGCAAGAATTTAAAAGGTTGTTGTTTGGAGTATAAACCTTTTTTACTATTGTATTTTCTGAAATCCTCTGTTTTTCATGATTAATGATTTAGCGAAGGCACCCAAAATCACCTCATATTTGTCTGATACCCCTTGGGAAAATAGGGCAGTCAAAGCCTAGGCTCCTTAGGAGTGAGAGGGTTAAAGGAAGCCGCTGGTCTTGTCTGTGCCCAGGGATGTAAGAATGAAGAAATGTTGAAGCACATTACACCATTTCTTAATGTCAAAGAGACGTTTTTCCCATTGTCCCATATGGACTTTAAATTTCATATAGTTACATGTACATAATGCATGTATCTATTAGTTTGGCACGAGTCTGCATGATTGTGCATGTTTTAGACTTTCAAATGGTTTATATGATAATTACTATATTTGAAAAAATGTTCATTGAGTAATATTGAGTAATGTATAACCAATCTTCTACAGCAATTAAAGATTCTTTTATATTTATACCAAGAAAATTTCCAGTGAATCATGACAAAACCTTTACAAAGTCATAATGATATATCTCTTGATATTCTCAATATGTCTGTTTTGATAATCTCAACATTTCATCATATTTGAATAATCTCAATATATCATGATATTTTAATAATCTCAATATGTCATGATATTTTAATAATCTCAACATGTCATGATATTTTAATAATCTCAATATGTCATGATATTTTAATATCATGATATTGTGATAATATCATGATATATCATACTATCAGCTTCACTTCTCGGCCAAATGTTTATTTTTTAGACCATTTCTCATGCTCAGCCATTATCAGCCGATATCCCAGTGAGCCAAGAAGGGGTTTATTTATTTTATATCCCAATGAATTCATTTTGTTGTATTGACAAAGAAAAGCTAGTGAGAAAAAGTGTGAGGTAAAATCTACACACCATGTGATTGTTTCACAGTAATTGTTTTGTTATTTCATTGGTTAATCATTTGACAAGTGTTGACAAGGTGGCAAAACTCTTTGCTGAAGAGCTACAAATTTATTTCTGCGTTTAGCGTAAATTACAAGTCTTTTAAGACAGAAAACTCGAAAATGAGTCTCTTTAGTTCTGTTGCTTTGAGCTGAAGCAAAAATGATAGCCATTGAACGCAGAACTTGCAAAATCAAGAGACCCAGAATGAACTACCGAGTGAAATTTTTTTGTTAACAAACCAGCATTTTAGTGGTTTCACATTTGATAGTAATTTTCTCAACGTAAAATGCGTTTACAGCGTACTTAGTCGACTTCTTTGTATTCTTCGTTTTCAACCCGTGACGTCAAAACCCATGACGTCACACAAGCGATTCGTCTGGTGGATAAACAAAGCGGCAAAATGGCGTCCGCATCCTCAAATTCTTCAGAGTCTCTCACATTTTCAGAGTATTATTCAACTTTATCTGGTCCCACAAAAGCCAGATATCATGAAAAAGTAAAGATCTGTGGTTTCGACCCTTACACGTTAAAAAAAGGCGATTGTAGTGAGGATATCGTACACTATCCGAGTGTTTCGTATCCTGATATCATAAATTATTTGGTCATCCAAACCTCRTGGAAAACTGRCCAAGAAATGAAGGCTTGGAAGTCAATGGATGCATACAACTTCTTCATCTCTGGATGGGTAAAYACAATTCTCTTAAAATCAGTTCAAGAAAGCGACAAAGTGGTAGYTACAGCTCGGGTAAACCATTCTCAACGGGCGCGTGATACGCCATTGAAGACCTGGCTTCTTGCCGAAAAGGATGGCAGTGTTTGCTTCGCACATTGTACGTGTATGGCAGGACTATGCGAAGCYTGTTCGCATGTTGGCGCTCTTCTCTTTGCTTTAGAGGCAGGAGTGAGGATGAATAATTCTGTTACGTGTACGCAAGAAAAGGGAAAGTGGCTAATGCCTTCGTACRTGCGCGAGATCCCATACATGCCTGTATGYGAGATGGACTTATMGTCTGCTAAGAAACGATACAGTTCACTTGGGGAGCAGACCGATACGYCACAACAGGGTCGTSRRRGAGCCGATGTGCCACGGCCTACAATACAAGAAAGATCTGATTTTTATCAGAACATTTYGCAATGTGGAATAAAGCCAGCAATTCTGTCCTTGGTTCCTCCATACAATGAAAAGTATGTGCCTAAACACAACACAACTTTGCCATTACCCTTAACTCATCTTTTTAATGAGGACAATCTGGAACTTAATTTTCAAGAACTTCTTGAGAAATGTAATAAAGCAGTTGAGGACCTCAAGGTATCATGTRATGAAGCAGCAGYTATAGAGTCCTCAACTATATCTCAGTCTTCTTCCAAGGACTGGTTTCAACAGARAGCAGGGAGGATAACTGCCTCAAAGTTCAAAGCAGCTTGTAGAACAAGCCAAGAAAAGCCCTCTACAAGTTTGATTAAAGCTGTATGCTACCCGGAGGCAMACAAATTCTCTAACCCTGCTACAAAATGGGGAATCAGCAAAGAAAGTGTRGCAAGGGATGCATATCAATTTGCTGTGGCAGCTGAACATGTCAATTTATCAGTAGCTGAATGTGGGCTACACATMAATGAAAAGTGGCCATATATAGGTGCTTCACCGGATGGCTTGGTCTTTTGTGAGTGTTGTGGAAATGGCATCTGTGAGATAAAATGCCCACACAAACACAGAAATTCAAATATCAACGAAGCTGTGTCATCAGACCCACAATTTTGTTTAAAGCGTACTACAGACAATAAAATAACACTAAGTAAATCACAYGCATATTACTTTCAAGTACAATGCCAAATTTTTGTCACTGGAGTAGAGTATTGTGACTTTGTWGTGTGGACAAASAAGGACRTATACATCCAAAGAATACTACCTGATAGTGACTTTTGGGGGAGCTGCCTTGAAAATGCAAAGCATTTCTTTGTAAGGGGAGTTCTGCCTGAACTGTTGGGCAAGTASTTTACCCGAGCTGTATCAAGAACACAGGAACAGTCACAGAAAGAGWACAGTGAGGAGAGTGAAGATGATGGGTCATGGTGCTTTTGTCAGCAGGCCATCGAGGGCAGTTGTCTCATTGGATGTGATAATRCAGAATGCCCTACTCAGTGGTTTCACATGACATGCGTGGGTCTAGCTGAAGTACCGGATAATTGGTTTTGCTCAACTTGTTCAAAATAATGATGGTATTATAGACATAATTTCACAAAAATTCAATATAC